CCTTTGAATTGCAATACTTGTAAAGGTAATAGATTGTAAGAACCATTATGCATATGCTAATCTGGATATTATGATGATCAAATAAATGAAGATTGCTAAAAATGTGATAGTGCCTGTTTAGAATGTAATATTAACGGATGTTTGTCGTGCTTTGCTAATAGAGAACTAAATGAAGAAATGAATTGTATTCCTCCGCCAAACTCAATTTGGTATGATAATACGCCTTGGTGTTCAAGTAAATTATTCCAAAATATTATTATTAGCTTGTCAAGTTGCAGTAATCAATTCATATTTATCAGATGATCTGAGTCTGATCATTATCCATTTTGATTTCCCTCTAAATTCAAAGAGCTTCGATTCTTAAATATAAGTTAATAAGTGCTCATAATTATTTGAATTAATATCTATCCAAAGTTTTGGTTAAAATTCAGTTTGTACTCTAAATCCAAAGGATAATAAGGAATTATTAATATATCTAGGAGAAAACTCGAAAATTAATGTTGGTGAAGCAATCTAATTTAAAGATAATTCATTATCTCATATAAATTGTGAAACTACTTTAAAAACGTTTATCTTTGCTACATTATAATAACCAAAGAATCCATTACCTCCTAAAATTAATTATCGTGTACCCCTTCATAAACTCAATCCTTATTCTGAAAATTAAGTATATTTAAAATCAATTATAAACAATGGAAATAGAAAGTTAATAAACATTAATTGGAGTTGTTAAGTTGAATCTGACGAATCTAGCTCTATGCTTAATTAATTCTTAGATCAACTTAACTTTCTCTAAGAATAAAATTTATTAATACCAAAACTTACTTTACCTAGTAATGCAGTATTAAAATTTAGGATTTAATATTACAATTTCATCCTTATTTAATCTTATTCTGAATTTACTATATTCACTCATGCAGGAGATGTACCATAAATTAATTTAGATGTAAAACCTTCATATTTTGTTTATGAAACAATTACAATTGGTGTTTCTGTTGGCCCTTTAATATAATCTATTTCTAATGATTCTTCTAGATATTAGATTTAACTAATTGAAATTGATAGATATCCTTAAAAGTCATCTTCATCAGATTTAAATACTACTATTGATTCTAATTCCTTTGAAATGGTCTACATAACTATTCCAAGATATACTTTAAGCAACAATTCAACATATACATTTTAAGTCACTGCAATTAATTTAAATTCTAATAAATCTTAAAATTTAAATTTTACTTTTGAAACAAAAATGGCTGGATTGTTTTGTTAGTTTAACAACCAAGGAATTTAGAATATTAGAAGAGATTTAAATCTCGAAATATATTGTGAAGATTTTGATTCACCATATGATAGGTAAAGTGATCCAGATATAAATATTGAAGTGGCTTGTAAAGATTTATCTTTTAATACTTCATGCAAAAATGAATAAAAATAGATAATAAATGTAAATAAAACTGATTATTTTCAATTCATTAAAAAGAATACAATATCCTCCTATACTGTCTAGAAATGGACAGTAACTGTTACAAAATTTCAATAAATTTCTAAATTCAATTTAATTATTGTTTATCTTGAAGATGATTTTCCTTAATTACAATTATTATTCAATAAAGGTTATTTAATGAGAAAAATCAATAATTATGAATAACTGAATTTTACATATCTAATTCCTTTAGAGAAAATATTCCATTTATTAGATCTTTCAATTATATTGATTTATGACTATTAGATAATTGAAATACTTCAACCAAAATTCATTTCTCATTAATTCAAGATATTTAATAGCATTCAAGAATTAAATTTTGGTGACAACATCAATCTTAAATTTGCAGCTTAATATACTAATAATATCATGCCAAGCATAAAAAATATATAATTATCGATTAATTAACCTGCTAAATGTTCTAAATTACTTATTAATCGTTAAAGTGACTTTGCTCTTACAGATTTTTTAGTAGCAACAACTTGTGAATAATCAAATGATTCTCCTTATAAATATTAGCTGAGGTAATTCTTGAGAGAATCTGATTTAATAGATTTTTTTAATGGAATATCAGATAATTCCTTAATTTTCTATCCATTTTAAACTTAAAATTAATTCTCAATTTAAGCTCCTACTTCTATTGACTCTTCAAAAATTGGAATTTTAGTAGAAGTTCTTGACAATGGGGGATCATTGACTTATATTTTTGAAAAGATTCCTATGAAATCAGCAAAAATCAATTGTTCATCAATAAAATTTTAAAATTTAACTTTATAAAATAAAATAAATTTACTATATGAAGCAATAAATTAAAAATGCGATGAGCTACATTAATAAATTTATCTTGATTTGATTTAATCTTAAATGTTGTCAGATAAGAATGAGAATATCCTAAAATTTTAAGCTATAAAATTATATAAATAGTTCTTAATATTTTCAGAAGAAAATAAACCTAAAAATAGATTATTGAATGAAGAAATTCCAAAAATATGTTTCGATCAAAATTCAAGCCATATATTTATTACATAAAATTACACTTAACCTGAAGTAAATTTAACAAAAAAGATAGAAGATCTCAAAGTAAATACTGAAAATTTTAATATAATTTTAAAATATTTTAGTTAAATGAAGAAACAATGCGAAGAGGAGTTATAATAAAATTTATACGTTTGGAATGAATAAATCTTTTAATAATATTAAAACTCATAAGATTGCTTAAGAAGTTTATTATACTATCTTGATGATATTTATTCTGATTTTTCATAAATAAATATAAAAAATTAAACAATAGATCAAATTATTGTTGAGTTGTTAAGGGTTGTTGATAAGATTGTAGAGGAAACCCAAAATTCTATTATAGTAAACGAAAAGCCATTAGTTGTTAAAGGAATTGAAACTATTTGGAAAATCAAAAGAAGAACAAAATAATTATTCAATCAATAATTTAACATCCAATAAACCTAAGAAGATTTCCTTATTGATTTTATTCAATTTGAATAAGCTTACTTTTAAAAAAATCCTTTAAGATTTAACTCGAATCTGGAAGAAATTCTCTAAACACATTTTAATGACCAAACATTACAAATAAACTCAGATAATTATTATCAAATTAAATTGAAAAATTTTTATCATAGAAAATTTTAAGAATATGAAAATTTTTCATCAATTTATGGCACAAATTTTGGATCCTATCAAGTTTGCTAAAATACTACATAATTCTTATCTGAATATGAAATATTTTGTGCAATTAGAACAATAACAGGAAAATTTTATTAGTGTAATTTGAATAGAGTATAAAATAAAAATACTACTGATTTACATTGTGAATGTGATAAGTTTGGCGGGATTTTCTTAGCAACATCTACAAAATTTAGGATTTTAAATGTAAGCGACTCTCCAAAATAAATATATAATCTTGAATTTGCTTCCAAATCTGAACACCTATTAGCTTTATAACTAATTACAATTTCTTTGTCATTTATATTTCTGAGCGTTTTTATTCTCTAATTATATCGTGATAAAAAAGTTGAATAAGAGAGATCTGCTACTGAATAAAATAATTTGAGCCCACCAAACATTTAAGAAAAAAATAGTCGAATATATCATGGTCATTCTAAAGTATATATAGAAAAATTTAAGGTAACACGTAATTTTTATATTAGCAAATCCATTAAACTATTTCACTATTTTATTATAAAGATAAAATTATTGAATTCAGTTATAGGATTTTAGAAGCACTCTCTTAATTCAATTTATAATTAAGTTTAACAATTCTTGAATGTTATTTTTTAAATAATTCAATTCTTTTGATTTGTGTATTTATAATCCTAAACCCTTTAATCATTTTGTTGATGAGGATTTTTTATAAAATTATTGAAGCAATATATAGATTCAAAAGAATTGCTGCTCTTACTAGCCATCTTCTACTTATCATATTAATGATGTCCCCCAATCTTGTCTTTTATATTTTTTACATAAAAAAGTATTTATTAAACTATGATAGAATTTAAATGCAATCAGAATAATATGTAGTTGCCATTATCTATTTAGGGAATATATTTATTTCACAAGCACTAATAGAACCACTTACAATATTTGGAAGAATATTAATTTATAGGTTAATAGCTAAAAGTCTGAAAAATATGGATTTAAATCCTGTGTACCATTTAATGCACTTTTTTGTTATGCATAGCAGTTTAGAGGAAATATTTGAAGAATTCACAAAAATTTGATAATATAATTATCCAACGTATTCATTAATTTCATTTTATATATTATTCATTTTAGTTATATATGTATTGCTAAATTACTTGGTCTCCTCTGAAGAATTTTAGAATTGGTTTGAGTATCAAGATTTAAGAAAAGAAATTTAAAGCTTTCTTAAAAGATATTTTGGGAAAAGGAAAAAAATTAAGGATTAAATTTAGAACAAGAAAAGATAGAAAAGCTAAACTGATTCTTTTGAAAGAAGACTAGAGAGAAAAAAACCAATTTAGAGACTTTTAGATAACTTAAATGATAATGAGTCCTTCAAAGGGAATAAGACAGGATCAAGAAATCTTACACTCCTTCTAGGAATACATTTCTCACACTTTATCCAACAAATGATCAAACTAACATAAATATAAGAGTCTATAGGATGTTTCATGTTCACCTGTAAGAGTAAGAAGTTTAGGAAAACTTAAACAATCATTGTCAAGTGAATCCTTATATTAGAAAGATGGCATGTAAACCAAAATCCTTTTATTTATCCTTTTTAGTTTTTTTTTTTTCTGTTTCTTCAATATCCAGTTGTGTTAATGATACCTAAATTAAATAATTTAAGATATATATAAGGGGAGATGATTATTTTTTTTTTCATAATTATAGTTCTAATATTATTTTTCTTAAATTTTGTGTAAATTTATTTAAGTAATATATATATATATTTTCTTCTATTAAATTATTAAAATGATTAATCTAATAATAATTATGTAGTTGCATATACATGCCTATGAAGAATTAATTTATTAATTTAATGCTGCTGTTGATGGACTTGATGGTAAGTATTTTAAATTAAATCTCAGGATGGAAAGACAATTTAAATAACAATATTGTTTTTCAAAGTGGTGATGTAATGTTATATGGAGGTAATTCTCCCAAATTTAGTATATTATTCTCGAGACTAAGTCCTCATTATTAAGTTAAAATAGAAATGGAATTTTGGTTGTATTAGTATTTATTAAATAAGAAATAACCTAATGAGTTTTGGGGGTTTATAAATGTATTTAGATGGGATGAAAATTTATAATAGGTCTTATAATAATGATACGATAATAAGTTTAAATGGTCCTACACCATTCAATTAATATTACGATATTATAAAAGTAAAATATCCACAGAAAAAAAAAACTGCTTTTTTATATATTGATGTCACAGGATTGGTATTTTATCAATATATTTTGAGTCAAGTTGTGGGATTCGAATTTTTTAATTTTATATTGAAAGATGCCCCTAAGAATGTGATGTTTGTGACAATTACGATTTTTTAGCTTGCAAAAAATGGAGAATTTTTATGTTAAACTTTGATTAGTATCAATTTTCGAACCTTTAAGGATGGTCTACAGAATTATCTTGGAATTTGTAATAATTTTTTATTTGTGGATAATGTCATTTTCTTCGATAATATTAAATTCAATACACTGGAGTATTACCCCCTCATAAAGGTTTAATGGTTAAATTTTTTAGAATATTTGATATTGGTTCTCAAATTATATTAATAAATGGAGTAGAATATTTAGTGTAATAGCCAACTGTATTTTATTAGATTGAATTAATAATTAATCAACACATAGACCAAAAATTATCTATATCTATCTAATTGGGTTATATAAGAGATTTTGAATTATATTATTAAATAGAGGAAAAATACTCTGATCTTTAAATTATTAATTGCCTTTATTTTATTAATACTATTTGTGTAAGTTGTTTAGATGGTTGGGAATTTGATGAAATCCAAAATTAATGTCAACCTTAATGTGGAGATTATTTGATTTAAGGACTTGAAGAATGCGATGATGGAAATTAAATCCAAAATGATGGATGTTATTAGTGTAAATTTGATTGTGGTGTTCATTGTTTAAATTGTGAGTTTGGAATCTGTAAAAAATGCGATTCTGGTTATCTTGTATAAAACAATTAGAACAATATTTCTTAATGCTACCTGGAAATACATGATGAAGAAGAAGAAGAGGAAGAATAATCAGAAGAAGAATCTTAATTTTTAGATAATTGTATTGTTTTAGAAGAATAGCTGTGTAAGCAGTGCTTATCTGGATATTTACTATAGAATGGATATTGTTTTCCTTATTGTGGAGATGGGATTTTAATTATTGGACTGGAAGAATGTGATGATGGAAATTTAGTTCCTTATGATGGCTGTTTTAATTGTGCATACTAATGTCCTTTAAATTGTATATTATGTAATTAAGGAGTATGTTATTAATAATGTGAAATAGGTTTTGAATTTATTGATTAATCTTGCCTACCTATATGCGGAGATGGATTGATAACTTATTTAGAAGAATGTGACGATTAAAATTAAATACTTTATGATGGATGTTATGAATGTCAATTTTCATGTCCTTAGAATTGTCTTGAATGTTTAGATGGGTATTGTCTATAATGCAATATAAATTATCAGCTACAATCAAACAACATATGCAAATTAATTATTGAATAGTAAAAAGAATGTGATGATCAAAATTCTTATTCTTTCGATGGCTGTCATTAATTTTAGATTCAAATAGACTGGGTTTGTAGAAGACTAAATTTAGATACTTTCAGTGAGTGTTCTTATTTTAAATATCCATAATTATATATTCATTATGAATAGATGAGTCGGAATATATAATATTTAAAACTTACATTTAATTAACCTGTTAAAGTATTATCTATTCGATTACTTATAGAATCACTTACTTTTTCAATATTGAATTTATCTGAATCATAGTATAATATTAATGTATTGAATAATCAAGATATAAGTAGATATCCGAAAATTGTAGAGTATTATATAGAAATTGAGATCTTTTAGCTTTTAACATTTAAGCCTATCTTAATAATAAATTTATAATAAAATATTACTAATCAATATGGTTCAAAGATCTAAGTTAAAAATTATTCTAAAAGTTTATAGTTTTCTACATATTTAGATGAAAATTAGAGATATTATTCATAGATTGCTTAATAGACTAATAGGTATCTGCTATTTTCATTTGGTGGAATATGCGCTTTATTTATTTTCCAAGGAAGATATGAATAATTAATAGAAATTATAAACCTTTTATCTTTTCAAAATTATCTTAGATACATTAATGTGAGATTTCCATAAAATCTTCTACTTTATTTTGAATCATATGATTTGTTATCTTTAAAAACAATTATTAACTTACTTAATATTTAGCATATAGAAAGATTTGTGTTTTATAAAGAATAAAAAGAAACTTCAGGAAAATTCAAATTTTATGAAGAAAATGCTGATTTAATTACTAATCTTGAATGGTAAATCATTCAATCTTTACTATATGTACTTTTGATTTTGTTATCAACTGGGATTTAAAAATTTATCCAATTTAATTACTTCAATCATAAAGTGTTATAGTATTTTAGCACATCAGAACAGCATTCAAATAGAGAGTACAAATATTAATGTATCTAATGGTTATATAACAGATGTCAATGGGTGATTCATTTTGGAAAGGTATTAAGTTTAAATGGAATTCAAGGAGTATTATTAGCCAATGGATGGGATCTGATATTTAAAGGAATGCTCTACTTAAAATATTTGTAAGTATATACAATCAAAGATTTCTTCTCTTTAATATTAGCCTTAATTCTATTACTTTTTTATTTAATTTATATCCTCAATTCAAGGATTCTATAATCTTAATATAATAGTATTCAAGCTAGAAAGCTTAAAAAAAAAAGATTTAAAGTTTTCTAAACATTTATTTAGTTCTGTTTTATCGCTTGCTTGATTTTTTTAGAAGGTTCAGAAATTTTATAATTAGGTGTAATTGCTTTAATTAATCTTATCCAACTAAATTTAAGTTACAAATATCTTAAAGGCAGAGGAAAATTTTATTCATAGATGGTAATATAAAGTTCAGTATTGATTTTTACATTAAGCTCTTTTATTTATATATAAGAAGTTGATTAATATTTATATGAAGAATTTAAAATAAAATGTGGTTGGTTCCATATTTTAATACTATCCTTTGGGGTATTGATTGAAATATTATCAATTATTGCTTAATAAATAAAAAATTATATCAGGTAGTATAAAAGGAAAAGGAACCTGATTTCATAAGATGAATAGATTATTAATTAAAAAGAGAAATAAAAAATGATTTTATTTTTTTGAAATATATTGATTTATTATATCATCTTTTTCTCTCTTTAATCTGTATTTAATTAGAGTACTTTATAACAATTTTTAATTTTCCATATTATTTTTTGAGAATTCATAAAATTTAATTAAAGTAATTCAGTACTTTATTTTTTTTCAAAGATAAAAAATCTTAGAAATATTCCATTTGAAAATATTTATGTTCTCATATCATAAAATCAATAAGTCTACAATACTATATTCTTAATTAATCTTGAAACCATTAATTTATATGAAAAATCTATTTTAACATAAGACTACATTTCATTCTAAACTAATCATCATTTTATGAATCTTTAACTTATTTTAATTAATGAAAGAATCGACCATTTCTATATTAATATCTATCAACCTTTTTTATCATCAAAAATATAATCAAGTATTTAATCAATATAAAAAAAGAAATAGCTACTTTTGTAGTTTTAAATTTGACTTAAATTTAAGATATTTTCTGCAAAATTGTTTTTACTTTATAAATTCAATCAATAATTATATAACACATCTCTATTTTATTAAAGTATAAATTTATAATAAATAAATATATTTATTTTTAATATATAGATAATATACTAATTGTACAAATTAAAATACTATATAATTGTTATTTTCAACATAATTCATATAATCCAATATCTTTTTAAGAGTCACTTAATAAATAAAATGAACTTCTATTTTTGAAAAATGTTTAAATAACATTTTTTCCAGTTTTAGCAGGACATTCAAGCAATTCACCAAACATTTCTATCATATTTATTTTATTCTCTTAAATCTTAATTGCTTTTATCTATTTTATACTTTCAGCAAAGGCCACTAATATAAAAAGTTTATTCTATTTAACAATTATCATCTCTTGTACTTTTGAATTAAATAACTTAAATTATATGATTTAATATATTACTTAATATTCACCAATTAAGATATTTTTAAGAACATTAAATAATTTGACTGATCCATCAATACATCCATAACAGATAATTATATCATTTAAATATTCTATAGCAATACATGTACTTATATTTGAGATTGGTAGAGCTGATTGAATGCATTCTAATTCACAATTAACTAATAGCATAGCTCCTTATAAATTATTATTTATTTTTAGACTGTATATAGAAACTATATTTCCTTAACAAATTGTTGCAAATTTCTCATATTTACTTACATATAGAAAGTCAATGAGTTAAGATTTAAAATCAAAAGTATAAGCAATTCTATTATCATGATAATTGATAATTTATAGATTTGTATCACTCTAACAAAGAAGATGAGAAGAATCAGCTATATCCATGATTCTATTTAATTTAGATTTAAAACCAATTAGTTTTCTCTCTGGATAAGGTACATAATTTTCTCCTAAAGTCCAAATAATAGAATAATTTTCATCACTTAAGGATGCTAACCTTGTTCCCTTATTTTATTTTAAAATCAATAATTAAGAAACAGGTTTAGTATGTTGAATATAGGTATTAGGATAAAAACTAACTTTGCTTGTAGTCATATCTAATAATTTGACTGTTCCATCAGCCAATCCCAAAGCAACAAAGGCATTACTAACAAGAGCCAATGAAGTGACTTAGAATTCAATACTTAACTTTTTTTTAATTCTGAATCGTTAATTTGAATGATTCTAAATAGATAAGAAAAACAATACTTTAGATTGATTAGTATCTTCTATAATTCTATTATCCAATATTGAAATATTAATATTTGGAATATTGGATGGTTATAATTAATTAAATACAGAGATCTTAGAATCTACTGCAGATATGACTGTCTTATTATCATCTAACATAGTCTATTTATCAGCATTTGATACATCCATAGATTTACTTTTAATTGGAGGAGAGGATATAGTTTAAATAGTAGTAAGTATGTTTGGTTATTGTTAAATTTCAATAGGTTATTGATTTGGAATACTGACATTTTTGATGTAGAAGTCTTTGATTGAATTCATTGCATCAGTTAATAATTTAGTAAAATTCTCATTGTTATATTATAATTCTTAAGCCTTTTTAACTTTATCAAGTATTTATTTTAATATATCAGGTTTTTTAATAATCGACATTTATTTGATTGATAACTTGAGTTATGATCCTAAATCAGGTTTAGTATGTAGTTTTTACTATAATAGTGATTATCCTTACTTTCAAGTTGTTCTCATTTGCGTAATATTTACATTTAGTCAGAAGGAAATGGATGGGTTCTAATTATTCTTTAAGTATAAAAAAGTTGTTTTTGTATATTTTAAGATATTGATCTAACTAGTTTATTAGTTCTGTTTTATGTAATTCAAATAATAATGTGATGGATTCTAAGGCTTAATTGATATCAGATTCAATTTATTGCTTTTAAGATCTTACATATCCTTCCATATTATTCAAATGTTCATCTGATAACAAAATTTGTTACACAACTTGAGATTCTTTATTGAATAGATCAATATATTTATTTGCATCTTAAAGTTAGTCTTCGATTTATTTACTTACCAATATTGTGTACTGTTGGTAGGGTATTAAACATTGATTATGTTTTGTATGTTAAGAAATAATTTTTTAATCTGTCATACACACTTTACACATAAAAGGGAATGCAGAGCAATCTAAATCAATGCATGCTTGGATAATTTGTTATTTGTGCTAAGGACAGATTAAATTAACATTCATATTAAAAATATATATATATATATATATTAATACACTCTTATTCTTTTATTTGGTAATCAATTTGATTACTAAATGAAAACATATAGTTATAGATAACTAAAGAACATAATAAACATAAACTAAAGTAGATAGTCTTAATTAACAAATAATAATATCAAATTTTGTGATTGGTTTTTGTTATTTTCTTTTAATATCCAAAACTGTAAAATGTTATCTTATTTTCCTGCAGAATTCAGATTTGAATGATAATTTAAATATTTGCAACAATTAATCTTTCAAATATTAGTAATTATACTTTTAGGATAAGTATTTTTTAATATCCAAATATAATATGAAAATTGAGAGTATAACAGCAAATAAATTTTTATTTCAATGAATAATTATAGTATTATTATTTTGAATCCAGAAAAAATCAAAAGTGAAGATAATCAGAACATAAATCTTTACATCTTTAATTTATATTCATTATAAAATTATAATATTTTATATTATATAATATTTGACTTCTTTCATATTTTTATACTAATTTATTTTCATATTTGCATTCTATGAACTTTACTACCTTCTCCAATATATAATTCATTTCCTCTTCCATAAACACATTTAATTTTGTGTGCATAAATTTATTTCAAAACAATATACCATCTATTATCTTCTTTTTTCATCCAAATTAATAAATTTCCATTAAAATCATAATTTATCAATTAATCATTTATATAAATTAAATTAGATATCCTATATTCATTATGATTTACTTATTCTATGCATTAACCACTTTTTCTATCTATAATTTAAATGTAATTTTCAAATTAAACAATTATGTTCTTTAAACCATAAAATTATATTGCCATTATTTTTTTGGAATGAACATTAATTACTTAAAATTCTTCCCATTATTATTCAATAAATTTCCATAATATCAATTATTTATCCTCTCCTCCACTACATAATACTGTATTATCATTATTTAAAACTATTGCATATACTGGTCCTATATGTCGATTAAGTGTTTGAATGCATTTAATTGAATCTTCATGTTTAAACCATATTTTAACAGTAGAATCTTCACTACATGTTACTATAATATTTTCAGCCTCACTTGTTATTACATTCCAAATGAAATTTAAATGTTCTTATTTCAATTTATTTTATATCCAATTATTCTGTTACTTTCTCCAAAATATTATATTACTATCCATATTTACAGATATGAACCAGTCTTCTTTCTTACTATAATAAATGTGATGAACAGAAGAATCATGATGTTATAAAATTTGATCTAATTCCCAATTTCCTTATTCATTTTTTGAATATACAACTAAATTATCTTATATAGTCTCTGCTTTATCTTATAGACCAAGAATTAATATTGATTCTTCATAATTGATTCCTAAAGACAATATATTTTGATTTGTCTATAAGATCTAACAGGAATGCTTAGATAATTTTGTATGTTAATGATTATGTTCATATTATTATTGAATTCGTGATTATATTTGATGTTCAATTTATTTATTACAATTAATATTTCTGAAGAATTATAATAAGAGTTCTAAATCAGTAAATTTTGATTATATATATTATCTATGATTTTAAGTTACTATTTTATTAAAATCAAGAACAAAATGATCTTCTTCAATCACAATATTTTCAGCTAATAATTATCCTAATTCTTAAAAATCTTTTAAAGTTAAAGTTGATTCAGGTACTAAATAATAATCGAACTTTTCTTTTTAATTTATTATTGGATGTACAAAATTGTCTAGTTCTTTTTTAAAATGATCTAATTCTTCAATTATTTATTATTTAAGTGTATTATATTGATGATTGATATGTTAAATGAATTATGATGTGATTTATAAATGTTTTTCATTTAATTAATGTCTTTAAGGCAAAGTTTCTACTTCTTCTATATCTAATTTTTATCCATCTGTTGGACACTTTTTGCAAAGTACTCTCTAATTTAAAGGACAATGTTTTTCAATATTAAATGATACTATTTTCTCTTTATGTTAAGGACAATGAATTAATTGTTAATGTAATTTTAACATTTTTATATAATAGGATCATTAATCATAAATGTTAATGCTTTGTAATTGGTACAAATTTAAAGCTCTTCAAACCTTGAATTGTTATTTATCCATCAATAATAACATTATCATTACCCCATTCAAAATTAGTCCATTTCAATTTTTCTAAAATTGGTTTCTTAAATTCTTTAGGCAATGGAACCTAACTAATTAAATTAATTTAATTACTCCATATTTTTACAACATCTCAATATCTGATTATTATGGTACTATTACTTCAGAAATTATAAAAACCTATGAATCTAAAAAGACTTCTTCAGCTATTTTATTAGGATCCATTGAAATCTCAAATCTAATATATATATATATATAGAATTATATACTTTTTATTGCTTGTTTCAATATACAAACAATTAGTTTTTAATCTATATGAAGTTCTACTAGGTATTCCTTAAGCAGTTTATCTATCTAAAAATGTAAGTAGATTGTATTTCTAACTAGGTTCATTACACATGTCCCAAACAATCCAACCTTCATTTAGAGGAGGTAGATTATTAACTAAAAGATTTTCTGGTAGACTGCTTTAAGGAGGTTCATGTAAGAAAACATTCAGATGAGTTCTTTTAGTTAATCTCCTATTTGGAGGCAAAGACATTTTTCTTGCCCAACTTATTAATTATTCAGGAGATCCCAATTAAGGCAACCAATTTACTTTCTCAGGTTTTAAACAATGAGCACACGGAGTCTTGAGAGATCTTGAAAGTAATGGGACTTTTAATTAACCATTTAATGATTTTTTGCCTTTAATTACTTTACAAGATAGACTAACTCCTTAATAGAATGTTCCTGTTAATTTAAGATCTCCAAGTGCTAATAGACCTGCATGTATGCCAATACAAACTGCATCACTATGACTAGCATAGACACCATTAGATCCCCAAATCTATCTAAGTATTAATGATTAGTTATTTTTGTTAACATATTCACAAGCAATTCTTATTTCTATAGTTTAATTGATAAAATTAGATAGATTAGGTAATTCTGCCCCAGGTTTGTATAGAAATGTTGTTGCCGCCGGAGTATATACAGAATTAGGTTTTTTGAGTTTATTTTCTCTTCTGTTGAATCTACCAGGACCTAATAAAGGTTATTGTTTATTTCTGGATCTCATGCCTAAAATAAAAAGAATTTAGATACCCTCATATTAGGATACATCTTCATCATCTATTTGACTGTCATATTCATCAGAATTATTCTTTTTCCTTTTGTCTCTTTAAGGTCTTTTTGTATTACGTTTTTGTGAAGAACTTCTGGATGATTAACTACTATGAGATAAGTTTGACATATAAATTGTTTTATATTTATTTTTTTATCACTCTTTATTGAAATTCAATAGTTTAGCCAAATCAGTGCAAAATTGTTTCTAATCATATTTTTGTATTTTAGAATTGTTCATTACTAAAGTTTCTACTAATTTCTCTTATCTTTTTTATTTGATATCTTCATCTAATAATAATGATACTACAACTCCTTCATCTTTAGCTCTTCCTGTTCTTCCTGAACGTTGATAATAACTAAATTATTATTAATATAATAAGAGTACCTCTCTTATTTAAATTCTCCTGCTGGAGTAATAGGTAATCCATAATGAATAATGACTCTTACTTTTCTAAAATCCATTCCTCTTTATAAAACATCTGTACAAAGTAGAATCTTTTTTTTTCCATCTTTAAATTCTTTTCTTACAGTTTCTCTATCTACTTAATTTGTATCTCCTGTACATTCTCCAATCCAATTATTTTTAACTATGTATTCTAATTTCTATGATTTTTTAAATAAATTTATTAATTCATTAACAATTGTTTTTTTGTTAAAGAATATCATAACTTAAGCCTCTGTAAATTTATCAAAAACATCCTTTAATAAATCTACCAAGATTTATTCTGGTTATTCTACAGCTTCTTTATACATATGAACTATTGTATATGGAGAAATTTGTTATTGAATTGATGGGATGACTCTTAAATTACAAATAACTTCTTGAATATCATCTTCATCTTTATGTAAGAATCTAGTATCTACTTTTTTATTTGCATCAATATTATTTTAAACACATTCTTTTATAAAACTTTATATTTCTTCAGGTTTCAAACTGGCACTCACAAAAATGATTTAATAACTTTAATTATTAGTTTATCCTAAAATGAATTAGATTAATTGCATTGTTTCAATTCTAGCTTAATTTTATTCATTCTTTTCTAATAATTAATCAGCTTCATCAATTATCAAATATCTTAAATTCGAAACATTTATTATACGATTCTTTAATCCTACTAACATTTTACTAGGATGACATAAGTACACTTAACAATCAGCATCTTCTATTCTATTCTCCTTTACTTATTGAAATTACTATATATTAATTATCTCATACATTATCTTTAGTAAATGCAAAAAATGTTTAAAATTTTAAATTTTAATTCTTTAATCTTTCAGGTAAATGCTTTCTAAAATACTCTTCATGCTATTTCAAATATATAGTTTATCCTAAAACTATTGTATAAGGATATAACATTCTGACTTCTTTCATTGTATTGTCTTTCTATTTAATTTATTTCTGTTCACTAATCTTTTGATTTTTATCTTTGAATTCCTAATAAATTAGAGATTGGAAGCACAATGTTTTTCCACTTCCAGTTTGACTTCTTAGAGCAATCACAGGAGATTATAAATTGATATCCTGACCTAGACAATAATTCATGAATTCATATTAATGAGCATAAACTTTTGGACCTACTTCTTTGAATTTATTAATTATATCATCTGCTAATACTCCTTTTAAATCATCCCAATCTCTATCTTATTCAGGATTTTGATCCATAAATTAATTAATACAAAAATTAATGAAAAAATGCAATAAAATATTCTTAATATGTTATGAAGATCATGAAAAAGATGTTTATATAAAAAATGGAGTAAAAACACTTTAAGAATAAATCAACTTATCTTTAATTTTAGCTTGATTTATAGTATTATAGTAATCAATTTCAATATTTTTAAGTATTAATAACAGGTTACAATATTTACTATATATGAATTGCTAAAATATATTATATCCCCTTATTTATATTTATAAATTAAATGTAATAATAGCAATCTAAAAAATCTAATGAAGGAGAACCAATATTTAATGGATCATTTAAAGATAAAAATAAAAAAGATGATAAAAAAAAGAAAAATAAATTGATTATGAATGTGTCAGGTAACTTTGAATTTAAAAAGAGATACAAATTATGATGTAGTTAAGTTTGTAGGGAAAAAGATATTCAAATGGATATTATAATATGAACCAGATGGAGTTAATTGGGATATTTTTTGGACAGATTCAGCTGTTTAATCAGAAACTTTAGGTAAAATGTAACGTAAGTTTATTAAACTATATTTGAAAAGCTCATCAAAAAATAAATCATTTTCCAGGCATGTATTCACTAGCTCGTAAAAATCATCTAGGAAGAAATTTGATGAAAATGAGAAAACAATTTCCAAACGATTATAAATTTTTTCCATAAACTTGGTTATTACCAGCTGAATATGGAGATTTTAAAAATTAATTTGTTAAAGGAAAAGTAAGAACATTCATAGTAAAACCAGAGGCAAGTTGTTAAGGTAGAGGAATATTTCTTACAAGAAATATTAATGATATTAATCCAACAGATCATTATGTGGCACAAAGATATATGCATAGGCCATTTTTGATTGATGGACTGAAATTTGATTTAAGAGTTTATGTATTATTGGCTGGTACAGATCCTATGAGAATTTATGTATATTAGGATGGATTAGTAAGATTTGCAACTGAATCATATGTTGCTCCAACTGCAAATAATTTGGAAGATGTTTGTATGCATTTAACTAATTATGCTATTAATAAGGAAAATCCAAACTTTGTTTTCAATAATGATGCAACTAAAATGGATATTGGTCACAAGAGGTCAATTAAATCTGTATTTAGTAAATTATAAGAGGAAGGACATAATATATAAAAATTATGGTAAGATATGTATAATTTGTTTATTAAAACATTTTGTACTGTCTAACCAATTCTTAGTCATCATTACAAGTCATGTTAACCTGATAATTATGCAAATAATATGTGTTTTGAAATACTTGGATTTGATATCTTCTTAAATGATAAATTGAATCCATTTTTATTAGAAGTTAATCATACTCCTAGTTTTACAACAGATACACCATTAGATTCATTAATAAAAAAGAATCTCATAAGAGATACTTTAAAATTGATGAATGTAAGTCATTAAGCTAAAGAAGAAATAATTGCATAAAGAAAAGAGTAATTATAATAGAGGGTTTTAACACGCAAGAAATAGAAATTAACATAAGAAGAGAAATAACTTCTTATTTAGTAAATTTGTGAATAACGAGATAAACATGAAAATAATAATTTAGGAGATTATGTCAAAATATATCCATTAGAAAATGCTCATGAATATATTAAATTCATTGATTTTGCAACTTAATTATAAGATAATTGGACTGGAGCAAGTAAATCAAATTCTAATATTATTTAATAGATATTAAAAGAAATTAAAAAAAGGGCTAATCTCAAACTCCTTAATTTCAGTTACCTAAACCTTCAACTATTCCTATGAAAAAATTAAATACTCCTTAAATGTTACCAAAAATTTATAAAAAATAAAACAAAATTCGTTAATCAACTGAATCTGATAATAATATAGAAACTAAAAGTAAAAGATAATCAACCTCAAGAAAGGCTACAAAATAATAAAATAGATAAGTATCTGATCCACTTTTGTAAAAATAGGATTTAAGTATTAAAATTTTGTAGTCACCATTACAATAATAATAAGTTATTTAATAATAATAGTAATTGAAATCAAAACCATATCTATAAACTAAATTGTTTGAATTAGATATGGTAAGTCCTCAAAATAGATCAAATTCTTAAAGTAAAAAATTTAATTAATTCAAAATATAATGATATCCTTATAATAACAATTTGAAACATAATTTTTATATTAATATTAAATAAATACTCATCATAGTAATTATATAAATATTATTGTACAATTAATCTCATTCTCTATTATAAAATCAACCAAATAGTGGTCATTTTACTGGAAGTAAGTCAAAAAATGATGAGTATTAGCAATTAATAGATAGAGAATAAAGAAGGTATGTGATATATTTAACAAAAAATTTAGATGAAGACTCAATTAGTTTAATAAAATAAAATATACAAATCTTTTAATTTGTATCAAAATACAATATTAATAACAAAAGAGGTTGTTACTAAAAAGGAAATTATAAATCCATCCTCTCATAATTTTTTGATATTTGATTTTATATTATGGATAGTTAATTGACTTTTAAAGAAAAGTAAACGCTTTATTAATTATTTTCCCAAAAGACATAGTTTTAGTTTAAGTTAGATAATTATTCAATAGATAACTTAAGTTATACTTTTATTCTATAAAATTTGAATATTTAATAAATATGGAAATAATTTACAATGTCTTTATTTAAATATAACTAAAACAGATACTTCAATGAAATAAATAAAGATTTTATTTAAAAAGGGAAATTATTAATGAAGTTCTTGTATGAGTTATTTATATTTATATTATATTTAATGATATTCAAAAGAATATATAAATATAATTCATTATTCTAGTGTCTAGTATATTGTAAGAAATTGACAAATTAAAACTATTTATATATTATTGAAAACCGATAATAATATAATTTACAAATCAAAATTGTTAAAATTGATAATAAAAAAATGACAGAACAAGTGATATAGATAATATTGTTGATAAATTATGAGGTCTGTATGATACTATTATAATATGAAGGTATTTATAAATAAAAAAATGGTTTTAGCATTTCAATATAATATAACATTAGTCATTAAAATTATAGATATAATAATAATGGCATTATGTGCTCGTATTTTATATTATCTAAAAGAGTAAAAGAAGTCAGGTTATCCTTTAACAATTCTATGTTTAGTAAGAATTTCAGCATAACTAACTTTGAATTATTTTTGTAAACCATAAATTTTATCAGTCATAATAAACTTAAACCTTATTCATACATTATTTTAAGAGTAATTGGTAAGTGATTTTAGTTTAGCCAAATTACCTTCTTTGTACATAATAGGAAATGTATTTTTTGAATAACAATTTTCTAATTATTTTATCAATGTTGGTATAGGATTAACGTGTTTATCAATAATGTTCTCATTTCGTCATAATAATAAATTGAAATAAAAAAGTGAGAAGAGTATTTAAAAGATATCAAAAGATTTTGATATTTGTATATCAGCTTTGCCTTAAAAAGAATTTGATGCTTATAAATCAGAAGATTTGAATGCATCAAATTGTAAAAGTCCTGTTTATGGAGGATTTTCACCATTAAAAGAACTTTCTAAATCAATGGATTCTGTATTAATGGATGAATAGTAAATATATTAATATAATAATAAGTGCTTGGATTAAGGGATAACAATTTATTGTATTAGATGATTCAGATAATGTTATAATATAAACATTTAATGTAGCTGATTTTTCAAGAAATTCATTTAGTAATTCAATAGATAATGAAAGTGTGGCTTCAATTTTAAATTTAGCAATAGTATAAGGGAATAGAGATTTTTAAGATTTGATTGCAAGTAGTGGAACAATTAATTAGAGTAGATTTACATTAAAAGAGTTAGTAAATAAATTAGTAGGAGATTATGAACTATATAAGAATAATATGTTTATAATAAATAAAGTAGATGCTTCATGGATGAATGATTGGATGATTAAGATATTTTTGGTAGGCAAGAATAAGAAAACATTTGTATTTATTTAAATTGAATAAAGAGAAGTAGTGTATCAACCATCATTTTAAGCATTCTCATAATTTACTACTTATATAACACCAAGTTTGAATTCTATAATGACAATTTCAGTATTAGCTGAATCTGATCCTTAGATAAGTGATTATATACTAGAAAAATATATGTATCCAATAAGAGTTTCAAGTGTTATAGTATATTTGTAATTAGCAAATATGAGAGATTTCAATCTTCATAATTAAAAGAAATTATTATTAAAAATAAGTACTGTAGATATCTAATCTATTTGTGAAGATTTAATTATTATGGTACAAGATTCATCTAAAGCAAAAGGAATTGAAATCAAATTGGAACATGAATCAACTGATAATATTATTGAAACTGATGCAGAAAGAGTAATGTAAAATTTTCAATATTTTAGTTAAAACAATTGATGTTACCATTGATCAAATTTTGTATTAAATAAACTAAAGATGATAGTATAACAATTTCATGGAAAATGTTCTCTACTAAAAATTATTAATTAATAATACATACTCCTATTAATATAGATGAAAAAGATTTAAGAATAATAAGATTAAATCTTAAGAAACCAACACTATAATTTTCAGAATTTAGTGTATGTCATATACTTGCTTAATATTTATCAGGATCAATTAAAAAAGGATTAGAGATAGCATAAGTTGAACCTTATGGAACAGCATTTAAATTTACATTACAATCATTTAATATTAATAATGAAGAAATGAAAGCAATTAGATTAATTGGATAAACTCATTATTAAGAAACTTCATTAAGTTAATTATTGGCATAATAAGACACATCTAAATAAAATGAGAAAACTTATACTTTATTTAGAGAAGAATCTAATAAAGCTTCTATGGATCATTCTCTTCATTTTTCTTAATCTAGAATATCTAAATAATTTAGTTAAAAATATTCAGAATATTAAAGCAATTATGTTTCCCAAATATCTAAGGTGAAAGCAGATTCTGTTAATATTCCAAATTCTAAATAAAAAGATTCTCATTCTTTTGAATAAATATCAAATATCTTTTATTAAGATGAAGAAACCAAACATTAAAAACGAATCAATTATTAAACTACACCTTCATAATCTAAATATCAATTACCTCATTTTCCAGAAGCTACTATAAATAATAGTCTTGGTAATAGTGCAAATGGAAATAATAGTGGAGGAGCTGTAAATACTTTATTAAATGATGCTAGAGAAAGAGAATAAACATTTTTGAGTTAACCATAATTAACTGAATTAAAATAATAACCTACATCATCCAATCTTTTTTTAGATTTTGGAACTGATACTCTTTCACCTATCTAAATACCTGTATCTGTATCAGCTAAAATGTAAGGAGAAATTATTAAGTTTTCAACTACAGGTAGATGTTGTTCTAGAGTGTTGATTGCAGATTGTGAATATCAGAATATATAAATATTAGAAATGATATTATCCAGATTTAAAGTAAATTCCTCAAGAGCATTCAGTACTGAAGATGTTATTAAATTATTAGAAACAAAAAAAAAATGTAAATGTGGTAATATTGGATTTGTTTTGTATTTTATTAATGTTGATTTACCAAAAAAAGGAGGTTTATGGTTGAGTAGATATATAAAAGATAAAATGACCTAAAAAGGATATATTATAGGAACTACAGGACTTGTTGAATATTATTCGAAAATTGAATATTATCGTAATGGAATAGATCAATATATAAGTTTACCTTTTGATTTAGCAGAAGTAAGTAAGATTTTATAAATATCTCAACACTCTTGATTATTACAATCATTTTTATAATTATAAATAATATATAATAATTATTATAGTATTATTAATGAATATATTCAAATATAATATTAATAATATGTAATCAATTACAATAGTGTCTTCTTAAATCTTAAACTTTTTATAATTCAGCAACTCTTTCAATAATTTCATCTTTTATTCTTTGCTTTAATTTTGGTTCATTAAGATGTTCAATTTCTTATAGAAATTCCTATCTTTCTTCAATTTCTTTCATAATTGATGAGAATAGCACTTCTAATTCAATTTAAGGATCTCCTTATAAAGTAGTTGCATCAGATTAATTGTCAGATTTTAGTCCTGTAAAATATAAGTCTTTTTTATGCATTTTCTTAATAGCATTAGATGTAGTTTCAGAATCTTTTAAGAAAGCATTATCATTTTTAATATTAATTTCCGGTAGTTCTGCACCTTTAGGTAATGCTCCTCTTTTATATTTAAATACTCTTTATAACTATTCAATCAATTTTTTTCTATCTTATCCTTAAACAGCAGGTCTGAAAAATTTTCTGCCTTCATAATATTTTTCAATCTCTTTTCTGATTTCAGCTTCTGGTTTTCTTTTTTGAATAAAATCAATGGGAAAATATTTTTATTGTTGTTTAGGTTCTTCCTTTGGATATTCAATAATAGTTTTTTATGGACAGGTCTTCTGAGTTTTAACCTTTTCAGAATCTAACTACTCTTGTGTTTTTTATTTTGGTTTAGGATAATTGATTTTTGGTTTTTCATGGGCATTATACAATCCAAACAGTTCCTTTCCTAATGAAGTTTCTTTTCCAAATATCTTGTACAAATTCTTTCTTTCTTCTTTGAGTTAAGGATCATCATCATCAGGTAAAAATTAATTATTCATTTATAATATTTAATAAATGCAAAAAAAGATAAATAAAAGAAGAAGTAAAGAATGATATTCCTTAAAGTAAATTAATCTCGTTAAAGAGAATGGAAATTATTTAAAATTATCAATATATAAAAGATTTTACAGGTGGATCTGTGAATCTTATTTTAAGTGTTATTGATACTTATGCTGTTTGTATGACAATTAATAATGCAGATAATAAACTTGATAAGGTTTGAATGGAGAGTAGTTTATCTGAGGATAAAATGTTTGCACATTTCTAATTGATCATTCCAGGATAATATGTCAATAACTGTAGTTGAAAGAATGAATAATAAATTAAAAGAGAAGTTTTATGTGCAGCCTCATTGCCAAAAATTATGAGTTTTACTCCTGGATTCCTACTTATAATATATTCAATTATATTTTTTAGGTTTTGGATAAACTACATATCTCTTAGGCTATTATGTTTTGGTTGACTTTTTTATAGAATTATGCTATTATTCTTAAATTCTTAAAAATTGTATGAAAAGACAAAAGTTGAATTCATTAAANCTTCTAATTCAATTTAAGGATCTCCTTATAAAGTAGTTGCATCAGATTAATTGTCAGATTTTAGTCCTGTAAAATATAAGTCTTTTTTATGCATTTTCTTAATAGCATTAGATGTAGTTTCAGAATCTTTTAAGAAAGCATTATCATTTTTAATATTAATTTCCGGTAGTTCTGCACCTTTAGGTAATGCTCCTCTTTTATATTTAAATACTCTTTATAACTATTCAATCAATTTTTTTCTATCTTATCCTTAAACAGCAGGTCTGAAAAATTTTCTGCCTTCATAATATTTTTCAATCTCTTTTCTGATTTCAGCTTCTGGTTTTCTTTTTTGAATAAAATCAATGGGAAAATATTTTTATTGTTGTTTAGGTTCTTCCTTTGGATATTCAATAATAGTTTTTTATGGACAGGTCTTCTGAGTTTTAACCTTTTCAGAATCTAACTACTCTTGTGTTTTTTATTTTGGTTTAGGATAATTGATTTTTGGTTTTTCATGGGCATTATACAATCCAAACAGTTCCTTTCCTAATGAAGTTTCTTTTCCAAATATCTTGTACAAATTCTTTCTTTCTTCTTTGAGTTAAGGATCATCATCATCAGGTAAAAATTAATTATTCATTTATAATATTTAATAAATGCAAAAAAAGATAAATAAAAGAAGAAGTAAAGAATGATATTCCTTAAAGTAAATTAATCTCGTTAAAGAGAATGGAAATTATTTAAAATTATCAATATATAAAAGATTTTACAGGTGGATCTGTGAATCTTATTTTAAGTGTTATTGATACTTATGCTGTTTGTATGACAATTAATAATGCAGATAATAAACTTGATAAGGTTTGAATGGAGAGTAGTTTATCTGAGGATAAAATGTTTGCACATTTCTAATTGATCATTCCAGGATAATATGTCAATAACTGTAGTTGAAAGAATGAATAATAAATTAAAAGAGAAGTTTTATGTGCAGCCTCATTGCCAAAAATTATGAGTTTTACTCCTGGATTCCTACTTATAATATATTCAATTATATTTTTTAGGTTTTGGATAAACTACATATCTCTTAGGCTATTATGTTTTGGTTGACTTTTTTATAGAATTATGCTATTATTCTTAAATTCTTAAAAATTGTATGAAAAGACAAAAGTTGAATTCATTAAATATAAGATTTAATAAATTATAGAAAATTATAATAGTTTTAAAAATATATAAAAGAGAAAAGTAAAATAAGAATAGAAATAGAATTAGAAAATTATTAATAATTAAATAAATTGGAATTGAATTTGTTGTTGATGATAATCCAATAAAAGAAGAATAAATTAAATATTAATAATCTATTGATATAACATAAGAAAAATACAAATTTAGAAGATTTAATGAATCAACTAAAAAAGTTTACAATTAATTATATGCTTTATTATTAATTATATTTATTAAAATTAATTTGTATTCTAGAATGAAGACACATTTAATTATTGCATTAATTCTAGGATCCATTTTTCACTTCATTGTTGATTTAGATTTCCTGAAATAAGTCATAAAAGTTGAAAACTATTCTGGATGTGAATATCTAAATATAGACATTCCAGGAGCAGAAGATATTCTTTAATATGGAGATCACCTCATTTTTGCATCTGGCAATTTGGCTGAAATCTTTGCTAAAGGCATTCCTTAATAATAGTAGGCATCCTTTTACATTGTGAAAAATGCTAATCAATAATCAAAACCAATCTAAATGCATATTTATGGATTCCCATCTAATATTGCATTTTATCCTCATGGATTACATCTATGGAAACATAATTCAATAAATTATATTTTCGCAGTTAATCATGCATATATTTATGGTGGAGAAAGAGTTGAAATATTCAAAATCATTGATGATTAACATCTTGAATATCAGCATTCAATTATTATGGGTCAATAATATACAGGAACTCTAAAAGATTTGATTGTAGTGTCTCCTGATCGATTTTTGATCACTAAATTAATGCCTTACACCGATCCAATTGAAGGGTAATCAATATTTTAATTGTTAGTCGTAAATAATGGGGATTTGGAATGAATATTAAAAATTTTGGTGTAATGACTCTTAAATTCTAAAATACAAACATTTTAGATTGTTCATTTGATATGAAACATATTCAAATCATTCCAAATTGCCATATTATATCTTCATAATCTTTTAGTTGGACAGGAGGTATAACATGGGATTAAGAGAAGACTGTTTGGGTTGGTGATAATTTAAGAAAAACAATTTATTAATTTAAAATAGAAGAAGAAGGTTTAATAAAAGAAAATTCAATAAAATTACCTCATCAACCTGATAATATTAATTATGATAAAATTAATAAAAGGTTGATTTTTGCAATGAATCCTAAAGGTTATTAAACAATTCTTTTACACTTACACCTAAAAAGTAATGAATTAAGTAGAGAATCAAAATATTCAACATGGAGTAGTGTAGGTGAATATTCTTTAGAGACTAATCAAACAAAAATTATTTATTAATCAAATTAATACATTAGAGGAATTTCAAATGCATTAATAATGCAAGGTAAATTATATTTGAGTAGTTGGGCAGATATAGCACCGATGGTCTGTTATTAATATGAATGATTTATTTAATGTATTTGATAAGATAATATACTGAACAATTATTTTTATGTCGCTAAAAGACTATTGATAAATAAATATTAATGAATAAAATATACTCAAAGCCACTTGATGAGACTTGTGATAATCCTTAATTACATGAGGCAACCAAAATGTTTCTTACAATGAATAAGGAGAATCACACAAGAGATGAATTACATTACATTTTATAAAGGATGGAAGAACTGCCTTACTTTAAACAATTTGTTTCAGAGAAATTGCAGAAAGGAACATAAAGGAATGATATTTTAGAAGTATTTTTAAGAATATTATTTTTTTAGTTGTGTTCTCGTTTAAGAGTGGAATATTTTAAGGGGGGAGAAGTGTTGTTCTAAGAGAATGATACATCAAATGATAAACTTTATATGATATAATATGGAGAAGTTATGTTAATGAGATAGAAAAAGATGGATTAATTGATGTCTTTGTAGAGATAGAATTCAGAATAGGTTCAATAAACATAACTAAAAATGGCATAAATTCTAAATGCTAAGAAATTTACCAATAAAATTATAAGACATCATAATATTCATAAAGAGACAACAATTTCTAAAGAAGAGAAACAATAATTAGAACATTAATATGGAGAATCTATAAGGTTATTGGGTGTAGGTACAGGATTTGGAGAGAAAGCTTTGGTTGAGAATATTCCTAGATCATTAACAGTAGCATGTTATAGTCATGAATTATTTGTGATAGTTTTAAAGAAAGATGATTTTATTACATATTAGATGACGTTTGAAAAAACAAAGAAAGAGAAATAACAATTAATGTTCAAAATATTCAAAAGTAAAATGAATATTTAATTTAGATGTGAATAATGAATATTCTTCTTAGAGATTAGAAAGTATGATATATAGTTGTTAGACTATTACTTATGATAGAGGAACATAGTTAGCAACAGAAGATGATGATGGAGATGTATTCTATTTAGTGATAAATGGAGATTTGACTTTACATAAAAGAATTGATAATCGAAATGTCTCTTTATGTATAATATCTTAAGGACATTTAATTGGAGAAGAAATTATAATTAATAAGACTGGAACATATGAATATAGTTGTATAGTTACATCCTTATTGGCTACAGTAATTGTAATAGATGCAAATGAGTTTATACATAAATTTCCAGAAGAATGCAGATTATAATTAATAGAAGATTATGGCCCTAAGACTGCTAATAGATAGAGATTATTATAATTATTGTTATAGAAAAGGAAAACATAAAATTCATTAAATAAAGAATTGACAAATGATTAGGTAAGATTATTGACAGAGATAGATAATGTAATTATTGATTAGAATAAAATTCATATTGTTGAAAGTTTCAAAAAATAAAAAGATATTTAATTGAATTAACATTTTTTAACTAAATATTCAAATCCTAGTGTATAAAATTTTTGTATTGCTAAAATAATAGATAGAGAAAAAACATTTCATAAATTAATAAAAAGTTGTGAATTTTAAGAATTTGATTTTGGTAATGGGAATAATGATATTATCAAAAGAAGAAGATTTATGTTAGAAAATAAATTAAATTTGAAAAAATCACATGAAAATTATCTAAAACCTCAATTTCATATTCTCCCACTAACTGTTAAAAGAGACTTGGTCAAAAATTTTAGAGTTAATAATAAAAAAAGTGTTTGTTATTCTAATTTCAATATTACAACACTTTAAAATGTTTAAAAGAATAAAAAATAATCCACTTTAAAAATAAAGGAATTAGTGACAAATAGACCTTCGCAATAATAATTTGATAGTTATAGTACACATATGTTCACTTAAATTGATGACAGACAATCACTTTGATTATAGTTTTATGTGATGTATAAATGATTACATATATTAATTTATTTAATGTCGAGATCATCATCCAGAAGAAATAGTCAAGCCATTGGTTCTCTCATTAATTACGCAAACTCTGATGATACATATAATGTCAAAGCAATCCTTTATGAAAATCATAATCATAATCTGTTAATACTTAAAACCCAAAAACTTTATACTTGTATTAGATTTGATAATAAAAGTAATTCATCTTTCTTGTTACAATAACAACGAACAATTAAGTGAATTGTATTTTTAATACATCTAAGCATAAATAGATAAAAATATTCATACAAAATAAGAAGTTGAACAATGGGTTAATTAACAAAATGATGAAGGATTCACAGCATTACATCTTGCAGCTTACCGAGGATCATTAGTATTCATATTTAGAATATTAGAAAACCATTAAACTACTTGAATAATATGGTGCAGATTATACAATTAAAAATTATAATGGTATATTATAACTTCCTATAAAAGAGTTAACTGTTTTACATACAGCATCATAAGGAGATTGTCCATTAACTATATATTATTATTTACAGAAAGGAATACCAATTAATGTAGTGGATAATAAAGGTTCATCTCCACTTCATTGGGCTGCTTATTCAGGTTCATATAATGCTGTAAATTTCTTAATTTCATGGAATGCTAATTTAAATCTTTAAGATACAGATACTTCAGTTACACCCTTGCATTTAGCTACTATGTAAGCTAATTCTAGAATTGTTCGAAAACTTTTAATGAAAGGAGCAAATCGTTCAATTAAAGATTCTAGTGGTAAAACTCCTTTAGATTTGGCAATTGAGAGTGATTTTAAAACAGTTGAAATTATGATTGTAAATTTTCATGATTATTTTTAGAGAGATAAAAATGATATTCTTATATTTTGTAATGTTAGATAACCATTTAGACCAGTAGTTCAATAAAGGAATAGTTAAATTGCTTTCATTACTATGTATATGACTTGTTTTATTTGTACTATACTATTCACTTTCCCATGTAATTATTCATATCTAATAAAATGTAGTTGTTTCTAACACAATATGGATGTGGATATTTTTTACTTTAACTAGCATAACTGTTATATTTTTCTTTATTTCTTGTGCCAAAGATGCTGGAATAGTAAATACAGATCATAAATTAAGTATGCTTTAAATATTAGAAAGATATGATTGTTCAAATATATGTGCAGATTGTAAGGTATATATATAAACACTAATTATAGTTAGTTAGACCTAGAAGATCAAAGCATTGTGATGTTTGTTAAAAATGTGTTATGGTATATGATCATCATTGTCCTTGGATAAATAATTGTGTAGGAGCTAAGTAATTAATTTATTAAATTAGAAATCATTTTGTGTTTTATTTTTTCATTATCAGTTTGTTCTTCGAATTTATTTTGTAATTCTTTATGCAATTTTCTCATTATAATTCAAATATTGTCTAAAGATGGTTTACTAATACTGAAGATTGGCTTTTAATTGGAAAAAAGTTTACAATATATTATGTCATTATTTATTGTTTACTATTTATTGTACCTTTAGGGTATTTGATATTTATAATTAAGAATTCTAATTTACATATAAACCATCAATCTATTGACAGGACAAACAACCTTTGAAAGACATAGTTTGAGTGCTCCTGGTTCAAAAGATGATAAATCAAATGAAAAAAGTGCAATAAATCGAAGTGAAGAATAATCAATGGAATCCACAGAATAAGGATAAGGTGGAACTTAATAATCAAATTATGATTAAAAATAAAAAATGGAATAATCACATTTTAGTTTGGGAAATTGTTTCGAAATGTGTTTTATTAATAAAAAGAAAAAAGAATATAGTAGTGAATTAGCAACAGAATTTATTGAACTCTGAATTATTATATAAATAAAATTAAAATGCAAAATTTAGAAGAATTAAAAATAGCAATTACTGGAGCTGCTGGTAATTTAGCTTCTGCATTGTAATACTGAAAATATTGAAATGTAGTTATCCTCTTTTGGGATCTGGTTAAGTGTTTGGATCAACATAAAAATTTTCATTGTAATTATTGGAATTACCAGAAAAACTATAAGAATTAGAAGGAATCAAAATGCAAATATAAGATTGTGCATTTCCACTTCTAAATAATGTCATTGTGTCAAGTGATCCTGCAGTTGCATTTAAAGATGCAGATGTTGCAATATTTTTAGGAGCCATGCCTCGAAAACCAGGAATGGAAAGAAGTGATCTGTTATAAATGAACAAAGAAATATTTATACAATAGGTTCGATATTGAAATTATAAACACAGGGTTAAATCTTGAATGAATAAGCTAAAACAACTGTTAAAGTTTTAGTTGTGGCAAATCCAAGTAACACTAATTGTGCTACTCTCGCTCAATAGTGCATTAAAATTCCATAACAAAATTTTACATCTCTTATGTAATTAGATCATAATAGATGTGTCTCAACTGTATGACAACTTTTTTTATTTTAGCTTGCAAGAGAAGCAAATACAACTATTGACTAAATCAAAAGAGTGATCATTTGGGGAAATCACTCACTCACATAATACCCAGATATGACTCATTCTATTATTAATGGTAAATAAGCATCAGAAACATTTTCCAAAGATTTCTTAAGAAATGCTCTTATTTAACAAGTTTAATAAAGAGGAGGATAGATTTTATAGCTATCCAGAGGAGCAAGTACAATCTCAGGAGCCATTGCTGTTAAAGATCATTTAAGAACATGGTTTCTAGGTACTTCTGAAGATAATTGGACTTCCTTTGGAGTATTAAAATTTAATATCTAAGGTCATTTCTGATGGAAATCATTATGGAATTCCTAAAGGCATTTGTTTTTCATTGCCTGTGACTTGTAAAGAATTTGAATTTAAAGTTGTTGAGGATGTAGAATTAGATGATTTCTCTAAACAAAGAATATAATTATCACTAGTTGAATTGCAAAAAGAATAGTAATGATTAATAATAAATGATAATTATTTATAAATGAATCAAAATTATGATAATGACAGTATAATAATATTTGTTAAGTCTGCAAGCATGTTGATGTTATTCCTAATCATTTTGTTTACAGGTAATCTTCCATACAAATCAAAGACTTTTAGGGAAAACAAAGTATAAATCCATATTATATTTTTAGCCATTGTTGTCTATATCTCAAGCTTTCTCAGGAGGATTGTTTTTATCTGTTGCTCTTTTGCATTTATTGCCTGAATCACAAGAAAAATATGAATAATCCCTCAATTTTGATCAAAATTCAGAAAAAGAAATATTTCCATATCCATTTCTCATAACGATTCTAAGCTTTGCTTTAATTTTATTTATTGAAAAGATTGTGACAAATCATAAACACTAACATTCAGATGTATCAAATGTATTATTAAAATCAGCATATTGATGTACAACCTACTTAAAATGTTGAATTTATTATGAAATCAGATGAGAGTGTCTGTTGTAGTTAGATTGGAGCATGTTGTAATCAAGTTGAAAGTTAGGCTTAAGAAGACTTACTAAGAAAAGCAATATCCTCTTAAGTAAAGATGGCATAAAGAGTAGGATTTAATGAAATATAAAAAAAAACTAAAAATAAAAAAGCTAAATCATCTAATCTAACTCCTTATTTATTGCAATTAGCTGTAGGAATTCATGCAATCTTCGAAGGACTAGCTATAGGAATAGAATCAAATCTTAGTAGATGCATTGGTATTGCATTAGCTGTATTTTGTCATAAATGGGTAAATATTATTTAAATTTGAATAAGGCTGAAGGTCTAACTCTAGGATTGACATTTAAAAAAGCTAAAGTTCCTCATTCGAAAGCCAAGAAGCTTATTGTACTATAGGCTTTGATGAATCCTTTAGGAATTTCTATAGGGTGGATTTTATCATCAAATAGAGTTATTATAGTGAGTATCTTTTATGCAATATCTGCTGGAACATTTTTATATATTTCTACAATTGAAGTGATTGTAGAAGAGTTTAATGTAGCTAGATACAAACTCCTTAAATTCTTAGCATTTTTAATAGCTATCGGATTTATTAGTTCAATTTGGCTATTGGAGCAGATTGATTTTTGAGGATACTAATTTATGGTATAAATAATTCAATTCGTGTCTAAGCTTTTTCTTTAAATAGTTCCTTGTTATATAGGACCTTAAGCAGCTTCTAAAAGACTTAATACTTTTCTGATTTTGGAATAAATCTCAGAGCCAACCACACCGAGAGCAATCCAAAACAACTTTAAAAATTGAAATTAAGTATATATTATATATATATATATATACATATATTTATAAATACCATATAATAAAAAGTGTTTTTAAATTTAATGATTATTTTTTGGATATATATAAGAAATTGCATGTATTTCTTAAATTCTAGGTCTTCTGAATAATTAAATTTAATTAACTTTCATAATTTTTTGATTAAAATTTGATAATCTGATTCATTATATTTTTTTATTTGATCAAAGTATTTTACAAATATTTAGGAAATGCTTTCTTGATTTTTTATTTACATATTCCACTTCATGTGATAAAATCAAGCATCCTTTATAAATCATTTGCTTTGAATTTTCAATATTGTAGTCTATCCAATTTTTACATTCTTTAATATATATTTTTTGAATTTTCATCATTTTAATTACTAATAACTTAACAATAGTTAGTAAAGCATGATAATATAACAGATTAAAAGAATTTCATAAAATAATTGAAATGTTTAATNTAAAAAAAAACTAAAAATAAAAAAGCTAAATCATCTAATCTAACTCCTTATTTATTGCAATTAGCTGTAGGAATTCATGCAATCTTCGAAGGACTAGCTATAGGAATAGAATCAAATCTTAGTAGATGCATTGGTATTGCATTAGCTGTATTTTGTCATAAATGGGTAAATATTATTTAAATTTGAATAAGGCTGAAGGTCTAACTCTAGGATTGACATTTAAAAAAGCTAAAGTTCCTCATTCGAAAGCCAAGAAGCTTATTGTACTATAGGCTTTGATGAATCCTTTAGGAATTTCTATAGGGTGGATTTTATCATCAAATAGAGTTATTATAGTGAGTATCTTTTATGCAATATCTGCTGGAACATTTTTATATATTTCTACAATTGAAGTGATTGTAGAAGAGTTTAATGTAGCTAGATACAAACTCCTTAAATTCTTAGCATTTTTAATAGCTATCGGATTTATTAGTTCAATTTGGCTATTGGAGCAGATTGATTTTTGAGGATACTAATTTATGGTATAAATAATTCAATTCGTGTCTAAGCTTTTTCTTTAAATAGTTCCTTGTTATATAGGACCTTAAGCAGCTTCTAAAAGACTTAATACTTTTCTGATTTTGGAATAAATCTCAGAGCCAACCACACCGAGAGCAATCCAAAACAACTTTAAAAATTGAAATTAAGTATATATTATATATATATATATATACATATATTTATAAATACCATATAATAAAAAGTGTTTTTAAATTTAATGATTATTTTTTGGATATATATAAGAAATTGCATGTATTTCTTAAATTCTAGGTCTTCTGAATAATTAAATTTAATTAACTTTCATAATTTTTTGATTAAAATTTGATAATCTGATTCATTATATTTTTTTATTTGATCAAAGTATTTTACAAATATTTAGGAAATGCTTTCTTGATTTTTTATTTACATATTCCACTTCATGTGATAAAATCAAGCATCCTTTATAAATCATTTGCTTTGAATTTTCAATATTGTAGTCTATCCAATTTTTACATTCTTTAATATATATTTTTTGAATTTTCATCATTTTAATTACTAATAACTTAACAATAGTTAGTAAAGCATGATAATATAACAGATTAAAAGAATTTCATAAAATAATTGAAATGTTTAATTTATCAAATTCCCTAATTGTTACATTCAGATTAATGATGTTTTAAAAGGTAATATTCAAACTAAAAATTGAGTCAATATTCCATTTCATTCAAACTCACATATACTAATTAGAGAAAAATTGAGTATTAATATATTTTTTAGTTAATTTCACATTTTTTTTATCATGAATACCCCAAGGACTAAATTGCAAAAAATATTCTTATATATGAGTTTTAATCTAGATAATTGACCAAAATTATAAAGTTAAATCTTATTTCATCTATGCTTAATTATCTAAGATCGATGAAATATCAATTTGAAATTAAATTTATTCAAATTTTTTTTAAAGAGTTTAATTGTTTGCTTTATATCATTAATAACAGAAATTGGCTTAGTGCTTGTTAGAATATTAAAATTCCACTAATTGTTAAAAATTTTATGATCGCCTTTAGAGAATCTTTAAAAAATATTATTTCCATTCAAAATTTATTTTAAATAAAGAATGAATTAATTGTTAATAATTCTTAGTTAAAACTTGAAAATTTCATTTTTTTTTTAAATATTAAGACTAAACACCGAAATTTTTTAAACTATGATTATCACAAAATTTAGAATATTAATATGATTATGTTGTTGATTAGATTAATTCTCATCAAAGAAGTATTTGGATGGAGAGATTACAATTCGTGGTGGACAAATTTCAGAAGATAGGCACTCTAATGTCCTGAATTACATGTATTTATGCCAGGAATGGATCCACATAAATGTGTTTGTAAATATTAGCCTTATAAATAGCTTATGCTGTGATATGTCAAGGTGTAACTGAAATAGAAGTAAAAACTGAAGTAAATGGAACTTAACATATATGCCATCCCAGATTTTAACCATGGGGAGCAGGAAATCCAACTTTAGAAGATGACTGGATATTTCATTGCGGATTTAAATAAGGCGTTTCACTTGTAATGGAGTAGCAACCAGAAGGATTATATAAATATCATTGTAAATGTAAGTATAAATAACTATTACTTTAGAATTTACAGATAATTCTCATGATAAATGTGTGATAACAGCCTATTAGCAAGGCGTATTTAAATGTTATATTTGTAAACTTCCATTTGTTGGTTTTGATTGTGATACAATTCAATTTTAATACGACCGTAGATTTATAGGTCCCGATGCTAGAAGTATTACAATATAATTATTAAAGAATGTGATGGGAATTGTTTGGAATGTGATGAAACTAAAATGTGTACCGAGTGTTTGACAGGATTCGCAAAATCATATACTGATGATAAATAATGTAGATTAGGTACGCTATAACAAATTATATTTATATAGATTGTTTTGGTTATATATATTGTTATTATGAAAACAATGTATTTCATCTTAATGGATTTTGCAAGCAGGGATATAGACTCAATAATGGGCATTGTCATTGTAATTATAATAGTATAATTATTATTTTAGTAATGTACCCGTGTCTATAAAGTAGCTCATCATCTACAAATTCATACTCTTGTGATAGTTGCATAAAAGGAGCTATAAGAAAGCTTGGTTATTAAAATACAAATGACTATCGTTGTTTTACATGGGATTGGAATTGTGCCATGTCAAGATAATAAATGATACTTGGTAGTGGATAAAATTCTTAAATGGATTATTATACAACTTGCACTTTATGCGATCCAGGATACTATTACTAAATTGAATCGAAAAAATGTGTTTGTAAAAATTTAATTTACAATTTATTAAAGCTATTAAGATTCCTAATTGTCTCTTATTAGACATTTAAGAAATTAATTGTGTCGCTTGTGGATTTAATTATGCGTTATAATCAAATGGCACATGCAATTATAGATAATGTAATTCCAAATGTTTCACTTGTTTGGATAATAATCCAAATTTTTGTACTACTTGCGACAGAAAGCAAGATTTAATAGCTGAGAATGGTATCTGCAAATGCAAACCATACTAGGGTTTTTTAGAAGGAATTTGCATACCTTGTGAAGATGATCTCTGTTATAATTGTGAATATGATGGTGTTTATGAATGTATTTCATGTAAACCAGGATTAAACAGACTAGTAATAAATAATCAGTGTATTTGTTAACCTGGTATGTATGACCCAGAAAATGATGATTAGATTTGCATTTGTAAATTTATTAATCATTTTAGCTTGTGATATAACTTGTCAAACTTGCTTTGGCCCATCAATGTTAGAATGTATTGATTGTGTAGAAGAAAGTATTTCAAACAGAATTTAAATTGGAAATGTTTGTAGATGTAAAACTGGATATTCTGAATATGAAATTAAAGAATAAACATGTGGAAGTATTGCTTTTAATTAATTTTAGAATGCCATGAAAAATGTTTAACATGTTTCTAAGCAGCCGATGGATCTGAAAATCAATATTGTCTGACCTGTATACCTGGATAAAATCGTGTTGTTTCAGACACTTTTTAATGCGTATGTGAAGTTAATTATAGTGATTTTGGTGGTACTTTAGAAGTTTGTGCAGGTACATTAATAAATTATACATAGTTTGTCATTATACATGCGGAAATTGTTATGGTGTTGAAGCCACAAATTGTTCATAATGCTCAGAAAGTTCTTATAGAGAATTAACTCCTTTGGCAGAATGTTTATGTAAATAATCATATTTTGATGATAATACTGATAATATAGAATGTTAAAGTACTTAATTAAATGTGATTAATAGAGTGTCATTATACTTGTTTAACATGTGCAAACAGTACTGAAAAGGATGCATGTTTAGATTGTCCTTCGAGTAGAACAGCTTAATCCTCAGGTAGTTTCTTCGAATGCTTTTGTACTGATTCAAATACATTTGATGATGGGTTTTTACAATAATGTCAAAAATGTGATTTATCCTGTAAAACATGTTATGGTCCACTTTAATCTAATTGTCTAACATGTGATACAAATTATAGATTAATGGAATTATCATATTGTGTTTGTCCAATACAATATTATGATATTGGATAATTACAATGTGCAGGTAATTTTTATTCATTATTAGTAGAATGCCATTATTCTTGTCACAGATGTTTTGATAATAATGCAGAAAGTTGTATTATGTGCTCTTTCGACCTTAATCTTAGAGTTTTGAAAGGCAATATTTGTAAATGTGTTGATGGATATTATGAGGTTGGAATGGCTAAATGTTAAAGTAATTATAAAATTATTAATATCTATTAGAATGTGCATATAAATGTGAGACATGTGACATTCAAGCGGATAAATGTCTGAGTTGTCCATTAAATTCAATGCGTAAGCTTGATCCAATTAAAGGATGTTATTGTTCAGAGGAATACTTTGATAAAGAAAATGAGATAACTTGTCTAAGTAAAATAAATAT